GGGGCGTCCGAGCGTCCCCCGGGCATTGCACACTGACGCTCCGGGAAGACGCCAGCACGGGCAAGGGGCTTGTCCCCCTGCCCTTTCCCCCCACAGCATCCCCGTCCTCGCTTTGTTTAAAGAGACCTCGAGGACTGGAATCGCTGTGGCGGCGCGGGGAGGACGGGGCTAACGGGGATCCCGGCGTGAGCCGGGGAGGGCAGAGGGAATTGTCGCCGAGGCATCGTTCCAGAGGTCCCCGCGGGGCGAGCTTTAATCTTGAATGTGCTGAGCCCTCCGCGGCAGCAGGCGATTTTCTTAAACCTTCTTTTAGGTTAGTCCGCCTGCGTGAGAGTGTGACATTATTTTTTTTTTTTTTCTTTTTCCTGGTGCTCGAGAGGGTGGGAAACAGATGCCCCTTTGCAGACAGGGCTGTACCAGGGAAGTAAGTCGGCTTGCCATCTTACACCAGGTTGCATTTTTTTTTTTTTCTCCCTTGCTTTTCTCCCCAGGTGGTTTCAGCAAGTTCCAGGCCGAGTTCGCCCTGCACTGCGAAACTAACCTAGACAGCTCGTGTAGCAGCAGCTCTCCTCCTTTGCCAGTCCTGGGTTTGGGAGGCCTCCGAATCAGCTCCGATTCCTCATCAGACATTGAATCTGACATTGACAGAGACCCCAACAGTGCCACCGACTCCGATGGCAGCCCTCTCTCCAACAACCAGCCTTCCTTCCCGGTGGAGATTTTACCCTACCTCTACTTAGGCTGTGCCAAGGACTCCACTAATCTGGACGTTTTAGAAGAGTTTGGCATTAAGTACATCTTGAATGTTACCCCCAACCTGCCTAATCTCTTTGAAAACGCCGGCGAATTCAAGTACAAACAGATCCCAATCTCTGACCACTGGAGCCAAAATCTGTCTCAGTTCTTTCCTGAGGCCATCTCATTTATAGGTGAGACCCGGTTATTTGCTAACAGCAATATGTCAAGCTGCAGAACTCACTTTCTTTTGCAGAATTGAGGAGATTTCGGGCGACAAGCGCTAGCAGCGCTTCTGGCAGGCTCTGGGGGATGCCCTGCTTTCTGGCTTTAAAGCTGGCTTAAATTGAGGGGCAGGGGGGGCTGTTTGAGGGGTGATCGAGGAGCCCCGGTGGACTGTGACACTTGCAGGTTGCAGGCGCATACCCGGTTTGGCTGGCGGTGGGATTCCTCCCTGAGCCGTTTGTGTGGAGCTGGGGACTAAGCAATGCTCAGGATGGGGGGGGATCTCTTTAAATCTCTTCCTGGTGGTGGTGGGGGGAGGTAAATGAGCCCGGGGTTGATGGCTTATTCGCCTTTTTTTTTGGTGGTGGTTTTTCTTTTTTTGAGGTGACTCAAGAGCGGTAGAATAAGAAGAAACCATCTGGAAAGCTAACTTTAGCTTTTAAATGCAAGTTATTCATAAGCAGTATCCCTGGCAAATGTATAGTCAGAGCTTTAATTAAATCTCGTGGTAATAATGATGTACCGCTCGGGCTCGGTGCCTCGGGTTAGCCAGCTCGTAGACATTATCCGTCAGCTTTGGAAACATGTCCCCTTGGGCTCAAGGAGTTCTGGTTAAAATTTGCACTCACTCCCCTTCGTTCCGGGGAGAAACTAAAATCACCCCATCGGGGTGCGGTGGGGTGGGCATCGCATTTATCTGTTGGGAAGCTGTGCTGTAATCCGGTTGAATGATACCGGTAATAGTGGAGAATGTAGGTAATCTGAGCCCAGCAGGAAGAAATGTGGGCTGGAAGCCACAAAGAAACTAATCTCCAGGCATTGTAATGCATTTCCTATTACAAAGGAACCCATTTTCAACCAATGTTGACATCCTGTTCCTCCTAATGGGCTGTCCCCTGTGACTTCCCTCATTCTTTTAAAATGCCTGAATACCTCCATTGTTAGCTGCACAACAGTTGGAGAATAATTTAATAGACCTTTGCAGTCTGCTGGTCTGTATAAAAGGCATTCAGTGACATATTGCAGGATTTCCATGCTGGGGCAAGGGGACTGTAAGAATTTCAGGCAAATCTCCAGGCGAAAGCGTGTCTTTTAAAACTGACTTTTAAAATAGTGTCGTGTAGCGTAGCCTGCTCCCTTTGTCTCATTCTTAGTTTTCTCAGCTCTTGGGCTCACGGGTACATATACGTAGGGGGGTGGATTCTCCTCTTGTCCTGGTTTTGAGCTGGTGAAGTTAACTCTTGCGTTGCACTGCCGGCCACTGGGATCAGAATTGTCCTTTCTTCCTACTTGGTACTCATCTCGCTTGTGCTGAGAGATCAGTTACCAACCCCCTGTCTTATGTGTCCTTCTCTGCCTCTTTGTCTCCTTACAGATGAAGCACGGGGGAAGAACTGCGGCGTCCTGGTGCATTGCTTAGCAGGGATCAGCCGCTCGGTCACAGTGACGGTGGCCTACCTCATGCAGAAGCTCAACTTGTCCATGAACGATGCCTACGATATCGTCAAGATGAAGAAGTCCAACATTTCGCCCAACTTCAACTTCATGGGTCAGCTGCTGGACTTTGAGCGGACTCTGGGGCTGAGCAGCCCCTGTGACAATCGAGTGCCGAACCAGCAGCTGTACTTCACCACCCCTTCCAACCAGAACGTCTTCCAGGTGGATTCCCTGCAGTCCACGTGAGCTCCCACCGCCTCCCTTCTCCTGCCCGTTTCATGGGATCACTCCTCAATGGTTTCTCTTTGGCAGCGATAAAGAAAACGCAGCTTTCTCTTTTTTTCTGGCCTCTGCTACCAAAAAGCAGCTGCCAGTGTGCAGGCTAGGAAAGGTTACACAGTGTGGAATCGGCTATTGCGAAGGGAGGGAACGTGGTGAGCTCTCTGGGAAGGACCGCGGTGACCAGGCGTCAGGTGGGCAGTGTCCTCGTCCCTGCTGGCGCAGTGGCGTGGGTCCGAGGACTTCCGGGAGGGTAGGGTAAGGCCGGACAGGCTGAGCACGTGTTCTTTAGAGACTGGAACTGTCCTGCTTCCCTCTCTGCTTTCGGATCTGTGACACGCATCTTTGTCTTCAGTGAAGACAGGTTATTTTTGTTTGTTTGTTTGTTTTAATTTAGAGGAGCCAAAGAAAGAGATTTCAGCTTAGTGTATTTGGAGTACTTGTTTGCCGGGAGCTCAGTAGTATTCTACTTGATCAATGTAAATATTTAATCGATTTGCAATTTTTTTTTTTTTTTTTTGAAATCACATGTATTCACGAAATCAATCCAAGGAACATCTGTGGTTTTGTTCTCTTCATAAATTCTGCTTTATTTGTTTGGGTTTTTTAAAATTTTTTTTAATTGCAAAGAGTATATTTGCAGCATGCTTAATTTTATTGTTCAACCGAAGCAAGCTTTCCATGAGGGAGAAATGGCAATGGTGCAAAGTTTGCAAATCATGTTTTGTGAGCAAGTACAGTATCTTCTTTCATATATCTTTCTTTTCCTTGTGGTGATTTTTTTTTTCTTCACACTCTTGATGTAGTTTCCACATGATATATATATATTTTTTAAATTAAATTAATTTTTTGCCTTACCTTTTGTAAATAGATCATCTGGGAGGAGGTTTGTCTTTGAACGCAAAAGATTTTTGATCACTTTTTAAAACTTTCAGATGTGCTAAACAGTGCATTACCTCTGTACAAATTCTTCAGGGAGCTTCACCTCAAATGCAATATTTTGCGTCTTTTTCTTTTTTTTTGTATAAAACTGGAAGTATGTGCGAGCATTTGTACCTGTGTGTACACACAGTGAACCTGCACATGGTTGCCAATAAGGGAGAGTCTAATTCACGGTGTAAAAGTTTTAAGATGGAATTTATTATAAGAATGTAAAACCTTAAATTATTAATAAATAAATAACTATTTTTGGCTATTGAGAACCTGGCTGGTTTATTCCCCCTTTCCCCTCTCTGTGGGTGTGGTTAATTGCACATACACATATGGTTATATTTAAAGGTAATGATTGCTTTCAATAGCTTTTGTACAGCCCCTAAGACAATAAAGCCTTGATTTCCCCTTTGGTCCACTGGTGCTTAAGTGAATGAACAGTGCATGTGCTGGATTCTTGTGTTGCTTTGGTGAAGGGAATGCTTTTGAAGGCCTTTAGGTTAGCTGCAAAATATTCTGGCATCCTTTTGCCACCCCAGGGATGCACCTGACCCTGGGCCATAAGGATTTTTTTTTTCCCCCTTCTTTTAAGAGTAAGGAGCTCCTGTATTCTGGGTTTGTTTACAATTTTGGCCACTCTATTACAGATGCCAGGAGATGGGTTCGTGCTCTCCTTATCTGTTTGGCAGGAACTCATTTCACAGAGATCCATCAACAGTCTGCAGCCTGCAAATGATTTTTTTTGCTGTTCAGCCACATTGCAACTTAGCAGGTGAAGGCAGGGAGGAAAATCATCTTCATACCCTTAGTCACCTCATTTCCTCTTTGGACCCTTCAAGTAGTCCTGTCTGTGCAGGAGGAAAAAGGGATTATAGCCATTGCAAAACTTCCTGCTGCAACTTGTTTTCATTAACACCCTTCCTGATGAGAAGTGGCCCAAGGTAGGGTGGTGCCAAAATCTGCATGCAGTACCACGGCGATGGGCTGATGCTGCAGCTGGGGCTGTCGGCTGGGGTTCTGCAGAACTGGCAGCCGGAGCACATTTCAAGTAATTTTAGAAACTGCAAGTGTGTGAAATGAAAAGCAAACAAAACATGGGGAAAAAAAGTGAGTCAGTGTCTCATGCAGTAGTGGCCTACATTGAGCGCATAAACTGTGAAAGTAGAAGTGGGTTGCAGTTAAACTTGGCTTGTGCTAATCCAGTTTTGAATGGTTTCCGCTCTTGGCATTCCCTATGCTGCTCTGTTCAAAGTGGAGATTTGCAAGCAGCTCTAGCAATTTCCTGTCCAGCTGCAGCTCAAGTGACTCCCTTGTTTTTTTTCTTTTTTTTTTTTTTTTTTTTTTTAATACAGTCTGCGGATAATTTTAGCCAGTTTCCTCTTTGTGGATTATTAATCTGCTTTCCTTGTAGAACCTACATAGCCGCGTCCCTACTGTTCTGCTGAAGTCAACAGATGGCCTCCCCGCCACTTCCTCTCGTTTCGCTGTGGGTTTGTTGTCAGGCCACTTCTGAAATTAATAGTGTTTTCTGGCCGCCTGCCACAGGCCATTACCGCAAAGGGGAAGTAACACATCTGAATAGCAGGAAGCCGGGCAGGGTCACAGCGTGAACTGAACCTGTTGAGCGCAATCGGGCCTCTCCCGTTCAGCAAGTGTAGGGCTCCTCTTCCTTCCCCCTTTTTCATACGCCTTGCACAGAGAAAGGGCTGATGCCAAATGCCTCAGCTGTTTGCACCGGGCAAATATTTCCGGCTGAATGAGTTGCAAATGTTAATTGTGACTAGGTGCCCGTTAAGGTGAGGAGGTAAAGAGCAGCAGGCAGCGATGTAGCCTGGGGGAGGAGGGCTGTGGCTTTCTCTGCAAGCTGCTTTGAAAAGTTAGTGCTCACAAGGGCTTCCTGCTTCCTTCCTGCTTCACCCAATGGCTAACACCAAATGGGTACTTCTGCAATTCATCATTTTTCAGGACATGCAAGCGAAGATGACCAGCTTTGGTCACACACACACAGGGCAGAGTCGGGTGGAAAACTTGTTCCAGATTTTTCCTCCAGCAAGGTCTGAACCAGGGCTGTCAGTCAGAAACCTTGGCTGAACTTGAACAAAGACTGGGCAAGAACAACTGGTCAGGGGCAAACCCAAACCGGAACTGGAGCCAAACCAAAGCCTGGTTCAACCTCTGATTTTGCTGTGAGTCTTCACACTCACTCATGTGCCGGCTCTTAATTACAAATGGTTTGGAGGGAAAAGCGCTGAGGGCTCTCCCCAGCAATGTTCAGCTTCCCCAAGCACACTCCCAGGTAACTCTGCCCCAGCGTGGTGAAGGGCATGGCTCATGCTACACAAGCACTTGCCAGCTTTTCTGAGATGGGACTCTGCTTGCTCCTGCAGTCGTCCCCCCCCCGGCACTCATTTCAAAATAACTTACTTCCTCTCTCCCCTCCCTCGTTTCAGTCCTTGCTGGGATGGGGCAGAGGTCTTGGGCTTCTGGGGGGTTTGGCAGCTATTGCAGTTCCTCAGCTGGTAAAGTAATTTGTAAAGGGAAGAATAAATCCTTTGTGCCTGTAGGGACAGGCCTGATGTGTATAGGCGAAGGCGGGAGGAATATCCCGCCTTTGCAGCTAAAAAAAATCTCAACCTGCTTCATATTATATTCTAGGAGTGTGAGGTACTGGATTCCTTCAGAAGCTATGGAGATATTAGGAAGGAAAACTGTACCCTCAGGTGATCAGAGGTTTCTCACATGATCCATCTGTGCCTTTAACACAAAGGGTGAAATTATGTCCCGTGGCATCCATGTCCCCCTTTGCTCTGATAAGGCCGAGGATCCCCTCAGTGTTTGGCTGCAGGCTAGCACTTTGCTCCCCGTTTTCTGCACAGTAACGCCGTGTAGCTCATTGTGCTGGTTCCCCTTCTGGCGTTTCCTCTTTCCCACTCACACCCTTTCAAACCACTCCATGGCCACTTTCAAAATGTCTTCCAACTCTTTCTGGTTTTTGTTGTTGTCGAAGCCATAACTTTCTCTTTCCCCATTCTCTTTCTTGTCCTTTTCAATGCTACTCTTCCCCATATGGATTCTGTTCTTGCACAGACCTTTTCCTAAGCTCCACCATGGTTCTTTCTCACTTCTCTTTTGTTTTCTTACTCTCTCTCTTTTCCCTGTTACTCTCTTGCTGTTTGTCTTAGGTTTCCTACATCAAGCCTGCTTTCTCCCAGGCTTAAGCCTCCCTGCTCCTCTTTGTTCTCACAGTGAAAAACAGGATGAGCCTCATGGGCCCAGGCAGCTGTAGCGAGCTACAGGGAAGGTGGATATGAGAGGAAGAAGTAAGAAAATACCACTGCTATCCTCTTGCCACTTCCTAGCAGACAACCTTATTTCCCATCTCCATTCCCTGCTGCTGTGTAGATTTGGCTCCGCAGGGCTTCCCTGGGTCCTGTGTATATAGCGGGCAGCACTTGGCTGCTGCTAACAGGGAAGGCAGGGGTGAAGAAGCAGCCTTTCCTCGGGGCCCATCCAGCACCATGGGGCACTCACCCCCCTTTGAGGAGCAGGGAGCGGTGAGGAAAGCAGGGAGAGACTGAAAACGTGGCTGCCAAAGGTGGCTCTGCTAGCAAAACTGAAGCCAGGCTTAACAATCCTGTGTCTGAAGAGCATTTCTTCAGCTTCTCTGAAAAGTTTATCCAAAAATATTTCCCTGTTGAGAAGCGTGATGGCACTTTATTCAGAGCTCCAGGAAAAACAACGGCATGTGACCATTTAAATGAGGCTACAGCTTAGGCCCTCTCTCCACACCACTATAAATCACTGAAAGCTTTGCCTGAGTGAAGATGGTGGAACAAATTGCTAAGCTCAGTTCAGTGCCCCCCTAGACCTTGAGCGTGCGTGTTCAGCATTGCTCAGTTTACCCCAGAAGCACAGGTACGGTGTCAGACCCCTCCATCACACAGCAGCACATATGAGTGACTCCTGGGACTCCAGCGAGGTGCTGCATTCAAGGAAGGTGGCTGAGTTTGCTCTGAACACCTCATAGTCAAAGGGAAATGAAAGCTGGCCACTGGTGTT